CGAGCTCTCACTCCTGTGGGAGGGCCTCTCTTGTTCAGCTTGTGGGTCGCCCACCCGGGAGGTATGGGGCCCAATTATGTCTTCAGCACGCCCCTCCTGCCGTCCTGCTGTGGTTCCCTCTTTATGTCTCCAGTTGAAGGAGGTCTTCTTTGCTAGGTTCCGGTCTTTTTTTCCAGTGGTTGTCTAGCAGTCAGTTGTGGTTTTGTTGTAGTCGCGAGGAGAGGCGAGCTCCTGGTCCTACCACTCTGCCATTTTGACCAGAAATCATCTGTTTTCTTCTAAAAGTGTTATAGTTTGACATTTTACATTTAGACCTGTGATCCATTTTGAATTAATTTCTATATAAGGCAGGAGGTTTAGCTCAATTTTTTTTTTGGATATGGACGTCCAGTTGTTCTAGTACTGTCTGTTGGAAAGATGATTCTTTTTCCATTGACATACCTTTGCACATTTGTCAAAAATTAACCTGCCATACTTGCGTGTGTCTATTTCTGGATTCTGTTCTATTCCATTTATCTCTCTGTTTATCCCTCCACCAACTCCATGCTCTTGACTACCATAGCTTTATAAATCTATATTTAAAATCTACATCATAAAATTGGTTAGTGTGATGCCTCTAACTTTATTCTGTTTTGAAAATGCTTGTTATTCTAGTTCCTTTGCCTTTCCATATAAATGTTAAGACCAGCCTGTCTGTATCCCACAAGAAAATCTTGCTGGGATTTTGATTGGAATTGATTGAATCTGTAGATCAATTTGAGGAGATTTGATATCTTCACCATGTTGAATCTTGCAATACATCAACATGATATGTCTTTAAATGTCCTTGTGTCTTCTTTATAAGATTTTTTTTAATTCACATAATTTCAACATAAGGGCTAAAAAGCTACCAATGCCTACTAGTAGCCTTCAAAAATGGAAAATATGCTTGAAACCTCACTTATGGAAAAGGAACACAGTAAGAGTTGAGATTCTGCTCAGCTCCTGGTGACACTGGGCATTTAAGACTTCCAGGTCAAGCTGAATGGTTATGGAGCAGTATCCATTTCAGAAAGCAGGGAAGAGGGGGCAGCGCATACAATGACCCAACTGTGTGGCCTTGGGCAAGTGGCTACCTCTCTGTGCCTCAGTTTCCTCGTGCTCCACAGCAGGCTTCTCCTCTGTGCTGCTATCTTGAAGGGACCAAGAAGGGCCTGAGGCATCTATTTTATCCATTCTGCCAATATTGGTTTTATCTGGCTGGGCCCCCAGAGGAGGCCAGTAGGGGTGGGTGGCAAGTCAGAGGACAGAGAACTTTCGTGACGTGGGGAGACTGGGTTTTAAGTTGTAAGAGGAGTTCTCAAAATCAATACCAAGCTTATTTTCATTTTTATCACCTAACATCCAGTGCAAACTTGGCCTGAGAGTGGGGGAAGGACAGTGTGATGAGTGTCCATGTGTGGGTAGCTGGGGCACAAGAGAGTGAGCAGTGTCCCTGGGACCTCACCCTGGGCATCCTTTCCTCTTTGGCCAGTGTTTGTCCAGCATGATGCTGCCCAGCTCTACCTCACAGTGTGGAACCTGATTAAGGACCAGATCACGGATGTGGACTTGGTAAGTCCTAGAACGAGAGGGCTCGGGTGGTGAAGAGCTGTGCCTGTATCTGACCCACTCAGCTGTTGACCTTGTGGCATGCAGACGGGATTAAAAGAGGAAATGCACCTAAAATACTGGTCACAGCTCCCAGTGTGGCCACTGTCATTACTCTGTACCCTTGAGCAGAGCAAGGGGTGGCTGCCGCTTCTGGAAACTGGCCGACTTTTTTGGAGCCTTACCCCTCCTCCCCATCCTCTTGCAGGTGGCGAGGCTGCAGGCCCTCTACACCATCCGCGTGAAGGAGTCCTTCGTTTGCCTAGAGTGCTCCGTGGAGAGTTGCAGGGACAGCAGCATGCTGACCCTCCCCCTTTCTCTTTTTGACCTGGACTTGAAGCCCCTGAAGACACTGGTGAGGGCTCCTCTTGGGGGGTTTCTGTTCTAATGCAGCTAGCCCCATGTTGCTGTGGCCCCCTTGCCACTTTAATCCATCCTTGGCTTTAAAAAGTCATTTCTACTTCCCCTACACGGCTCTGGCTAAGTTCTCCTTTGATCTGCAAAAACTGTTTCTCCTCCTACTTCCCCTTATCCTTGCACTGCTCCCCTGACAAGTGCCCCTCTTTTTTCCCTCCAGTAAGTACGTACTTTTTGAGATCCTGGCAGGTGCACCGTGCTGGGCCACACGTTAAGGGGACGTGGGGAAACCAGAAGGAAGTTTACATCCCCTTTTGCAGGGCAAGAGGTTGTACTCCTGATGGAAGTAACCCTGATGGAAGTAACCCTCCTTTCCCTTGTTTTCCTGGGGCAGGAGGACTCCCTTCTCTGTTTCTTCCAGCCCAGGGAGTTGTCCAGCAAAGACAAGTGCTTCTGTGAGAGCTGTGGGAGGAAGACCTGCTGGAAGCAGGTACTCCTTCCTGAAGCAGGCATTTCCCTGGTCTGGGGACGTCTTCATGGAGCCCCTGGGGGCGCCTTGTGCGGTGGAGGGAGGGAATCCTGTTGGGCTGGGACCTGGGGTCCTTGGGCTTCTGATTTCCAGGGCTATGGATGTGTCCTTGGAGAGGGGGACAGTGTCCCCTCAGGGCCAGACTCCTCTGCAGGAGCAGACCCCGTGGTTCCCCTGGGGTCCTGGGCAGAGCCCCGGACTGTTGGAGCCTTCTGGGAAGACCCAGCAGACAGGCCCTCCACTCTGTATTATTCCCTTCCGCTCCCTTCTCTTTGGGAAGGAGAACATATCATTGGCCCTGGTGTTTCTCGGGATCAACCTCTTTCAAGTGCAGTAAGACTTTGTCTCCATGGTATCTTTTCTGTTTTCAGGTCCTGAAGCTGACCCACCTCCCCCAGACCTTGACCATTCACCTCATGCGGTTCTGCCTCAGAAATCTGCAAACACAGAAAATCTGCCACTCACTGCATTTCCCCCAGAGCTTGGACCTAAAGAAGCATCTCGAGACGGAGGAGGACCCCTGCGCTGCCGAGGAGCCGGTGAGAGCCCTTCACCTCCCTTCCACCCTGTCACTGCCGCCATGTCCGTCTGTTCTGTCCACCTCCCCTGCCCTGAGCTGCCTGACATTCTTCAACCAGGCATGCATTTTGGGAGTCACTCTCTCATCTCAGACATTGGTCCTCTGATGGCCAAGCTCAGGACACACAGAGGGGGACCAGTTGCCAACGGGTCAGTGTGGTTCATCAAAACATATTCATACATTTGAGAAACACTTGTTTTTTAAACAAGTATTTTAATGATGTGAACTCGAATACCAGCGACAGGCTGTTAGCGTCATGTCACCACCGCCACGACTTGCAGTTTGTAGTTGCACCTCTTTTAAGATTCAAGATTTCATTTCTAGTTGTTGGATTTGCACTCACCTACCTCACAGCACTGAGGGAGGGAACTCACGAATCAGGACCTTCCTTTTGAACACAGTGTGTGTGCTTTTGTACACACAGGTAAGCACATCCTCGGTTCTAAGCATCGCACCAGCCGTTCTTTCTGAAACAGCTTACGCTCACCTTGAGGAGAGTAAGAAAGTAGCCAGTACACCGGGTCAGATGTATTCGGAGTTAAGGTGGATTCAGTGTTCCTGGGCCAGTAACTTACGGGGAGATTCTAAGAAGAATTGACGTAAATAGCTTTTCTCCATGGGTTTAAAATGCTGCGTCTTCAAATTCTGCATTTTCATATACATAGAGACCCATCTTTGGGCTGTCCGCTTTGTTCCACTGGCCTGTTTGCTGTCCATGCTCTGGAAGCACAGCTTCTGGAGGCTGAGGCCTGACGGTGTGCTGCGGGGCTCCTGTTACCACGTGGTTTCTGTCCCTGTTCGGAGCACACACCCTGCTCAGGGTTGTTTCCTTCCCTCTAAGCGCCTTGTCTCTGCTCAGGCAGCCGACCTGATGGAGTACAGCTTAATGTCTGACACTTGAAAGGACTTAGGTCAGATTTTGAATACGTGCCAGAGCAGCGAGGAGCTGTGTGGTGAGCCTCCACGCCCACCCCCCTTGAGCAGGTGTCGGCACTCGGCCAGTGTTGCTTTACCTGCACCCCACCCTCTGCTTGGGTTGTTTTGAAGCAAATCCCAGACACCATACGTGTCATTTGTAGGGATTTCATGATATGTCTCTGAAGAATAAGCACACTTTCTAAACGTAGCCCGTTCCGTCTCGTAATTCCTCAGTATCATGTAACACGCAGTCGCCATTCAGAGTTCCGTGGCTGTCCCGTAAGTTGCTTGCTTTGCTTGAATCTAGACCCACACCAGATACACACTTGCGTTTGGTAAGTTTGTCTCCTACCCCGTCTTTCTTTCTTCTTTAGGTTGAGTTTCTTTGATGTTTCCTTTCTTTCTTTTCCTTGAAATTTATTTGGTTGAGGGTTTTTTTATGTTTATCCAGAATAGGCTGGTCTTACTTGACATGTCTGTCTGTCTGTTGTGTTTCTTGTAAACTGATAGTTAGACCTAGAGCTTTCCTGCACTTTAAAAAACCAGCACACAATGAATATATATATGTTCATGTATAACTGAAAAATTGTGCTCTACGCTGGAATTTGACACAACATTGTAAACTAACTATAATTCAGTTAAAAAAAAAATCCAGCACGAAGTCCCCATGTGATTCAGCTTCGTTTGCACCCCTCCCACCAATCGATCCTGTTTAAAGGTCTCAGGGTGGGGACATTGTTTGACTGTGGTGAGAGAAAAAATAATGTTCACATGGAGACCCTGCTCCCAATCAGTGAAAACCCCCTCTCTCGTCACTGTCTCCTCTCCACAGGGATTTACCTCTTACGTGGACTCTCCGAGACCTGAGGGCGTGAGATGACTCGCTGGCGAGTCTAATGACACTTGCTGGTCTTTCCCTTCCTTGGCCTCTTTGAGATGTTCTGTTATTGATCATCCTCCCTTCCGGGTCTGCCCGCTCCAGGTCTCTCCCAGGGCCTCTTTCTCCATTGCTGGTCGCATTTTTCTTCCCACGTTTTGAATGTCGTCTCAGTTCTTGTGGTTTCAGTGATCTCCTCACGTTGCAGACTTCCAAACCCCTGTCTTCTGTTCAGGCCTCACCCTTGAGCTCCGCCTCCTATTGAATGCTGTCGCCCAGAACAATTACTTCATTCGCAAACTCCTCTGTTCTAAGTGCCACTCTGTAGCACCAACGTCTTCCTAGTTTCCAAGTCAAAAACCTGGGGTTCATCCTTACAGTGCTTCCTACTGGCCCCCCCCACCACACGCATCGGTTGCAAAGTCCCTGATTACATTTCCCTGATTTTCCACAAATCTGCCCCCTCGTCTCCACCTTTGCTCTCATCTCATCGGTATAGGGGTTGAGAGCCTGGGCGAAACCCCGCCGCCTCTGTCTGTGAGCTCTGACCCTTGGGTAAATTGCTCTACCTCCCTGAGCTCAGATTCCTCCTCTGCAGTGTCGGATCTATGCCGGCACCCAGCTTACAGGTTTGTTGTGAGTATTAAATGAGTGCTGAAAGTTAGCCAGTAATTATTGTGCTAACAATGCTCAGTGCTGCTTAGCGGCAGCTCCCGCTGGTGTCACCCAGGCTCTTACCAGGTCTCCCTCCAGCGGCTGTGGTTCCCTCACTTCTCTTGCGTTTTTCAAACCTCGTTATTTCAGTGTTTCTCAAACACAAATCTGATGACGTTGCCCCTCTGCTGAAAACCTTCCAACGTCTCCGGCGCTGGGGATAAAGCTCTGATCCAGACTGGACCCCTGGGGTCGGACGTCGTGACTGACCGGCACCCCCCGCCTCCTCTCCTGGGGGCGCTGCCCCGCTACTGCAGCCTCCACCCCGTGGTGCCGGCCGGCCTCCTTCTGCCTCCCGGCCGCCAAGTGTCTGCTCTGGGGAGCTTTCCTTCTCCTTTCTGGGGCAGAGTTGTTTCTTCCCAAACCTACCTGCAAACACAGCTGGTCTGAAACATGGCGTTCCAGTTCTGGTGTGACTGCGAGTCTCGGGGTCCTTGCAGCTGGGGTGCCTGGCGCAGAGGCACCAAGTGCATGAATGTGTGGTGAGCAGGGTCTGCTAATCCTGGGTGTGGTCAGCAGAGGAGGGTGACCGGGATCACTCTGTGCCTTGTGTCCTTCAGCGTGGGGGGCAGTACGAACTCTTCGCTGTGATTGCACACACGGGGACAGCTGACTTCGGTCACTACTGTGCCTACGTCCGGAACCGTGTGGATGGACAGTGGTTCTGCTTCAACGACTCCAATGTTTCTTGGGTGAGAAACGTCAGCCCCAGTTGCCTCTTGCCCTGGACTCTCCCTCTCTAATAATTTCTGGGCCCAGGACGAGATGGTCTTCAAGGCACGCTGTGGCCCTGTTCTCCTGGGGGGCCTTTTGTGGAGTGTAAAGCCCTTTCTGCACAGGGTCCCTATCTGGATTACAGCTCTGCTGGAGTCCACTTAGCCCTTTGTCTGGGTTTCTGGTGCCCTAGGCTCAGTGCTTACAGTCTCATACTCTGGGGAAATGTGTGGAAACCAAGAAGAGTTAGAAATGTGAGAGTGAGAACCTCAGGCTAAGATAACCAAGTTTAAACAGGGGGACAAGGGTGCTACAGAGACTTCATGCATGTGGCATCCTACCACCTGATGATCCAGGCTGTGGGAGTTTCTGGGGTGGGTTTGGATGGTGGAGGGGCAGCTTGCCACAGCCTTACTCTCTGGCTGCTTCACCCCATGTGTCTGTGTCCTTGCAGGTGTCCTGGGAAGATGTCCAGTGTACCTATGGGAGCCACAGCTACCGCTGGTGAGAGGAGGACTGAGGTGTGGGGCCCCATGGAGCTTGTTGCTCTATGAAACGCACACAGATTCAGCTGCCTCTCACGTGTGGGTAGCTCCGCACTGAAGAACCTCTCAGCCTCACCTTTCAGCACCCGTGACCCCGCTCTGCTTTCCTCGCAGTCTGGTCGCCAGCAGTCCTAGAGCATAAATGGCTACCAGACACCGTGCTGTCCGTGGCCTGTGTTGCCATCTCCCAGCTCATCATCAGGGCAGACTCCCTGTCTAACTTCAGGGCCTCCCTTCATGCCCGCTTCTCCTTGAAGCCTCCCCTGAGCCCTGAGCCCCAGGCGGACCTGCTGGGCTTCTCAGCTGCTCTCATTGTGCCTGGAGCGGGGGCCATACTGCTTCGTACTCACTCCCTCGCATAATGTCCGTTCACATCAGACCACAGCTCTCTGGAGGCAGGGACTAGTCTTGCCCTCCTTTGTCTGGAACAGTGGCTTGCACTTAGTAAACTGCAATGAATAAATTGTTAAAAATCGATAACTACGCGGGGGAAACTGGAGAGGAAAAAGCTGGGTGAAGTTAAAGTAGAGCCTTTGTAAGTTCTCCAGCTGAATTCCTGGGTTGGGGGTGACAGACACCAGGCATGACATGTGAGAGGGCCCCAGCTGCAGAAGTAGGCTGTCATTTGGAAACTAATGAGTTAGGTGGGATTTGTGCTTGAAACCCTCCCCCCACCTTGTGCTTCCCACCTCTTTCTTCTCAGTGTGCCCCTTAGATGCCACTCTGGGTCACCTTTTGGTTGTCAGTGACCGCCCCCCCCCATTATTTGATCAGGATTTGGCAAACTTGTCTTGTAAAGGGCCGGGGAGTAAATATTTCAGTCTTTGGCAGATGCACAGCCTCGGCTGCAGCTCCTCAGCGCTGCCTCTGCAGCACAAAAGCAGCCACAGCCCACACGCACGGGAGTGAGTGTGGCTTTGTTCCAGTTGGATTTATCTGCAGAAACAGGATTGGATTTGGCTCATGAGCTCATAATTTATCAACCCCTGATCGAGTGACTGAGATGTCAAGTAACAGCTTAATAGTAGTTATTTTCCCAGGTCACCAGTTCTGTCCCCTCAGAAGTGATGATAGAGGAAAACTTGATCCAGTAACCTGGGCAGTGTTCTGATGGGTGTTCTGTCATGAATTAATTAACTGGATGTTCCATTTCCGTAATGCTGTTGCCTTTTCTTCTTTCTAGGAGGGAAACTGCGTATCTTCTGGTGTACATGAGGACTGAGTCCTAGTGGGTGTACCCTAAATCTTCCAAGACCTACAGAATCGTTTTCTTTTTCTGTTCCTGGATCTGCAGACTCTTTTAAGAGATTCTGCAGTGAGAAAAGGCACCATTCTCAAAGTGTTAAATTAAACTTTATTTATAATCAGTGGTGGTTATCAAAACGTTGACCAGAGACACTGTGCAGGTCTGGACCAGTCAGAATGGGTACTGATGCCTGCAGACCCTGGCCATGTGGCTGGGTTGGTACCAAGCAGTGCTCCTTCCGTGGGGTCCAGGGGCTCCCAGGGAAGAGAACCAGGCCGGCAGTGGGAGTGGGAGGCAGTGGGGTGGCGAGGGGCAGGGTAGGGAAGTTTTCCAATATTTTACAGCTACTATGACTGTACTGGTATGTACTGGCTGTGTATCATTTCTGTTTATTAAAATTTTTGAACCTGTATCAATTACATGAAACTTAAGTGCTTTGCAGTTGTGACTCACTTATTTAACAGATATGTGTTGATCACCTGCTCTCCATGAGGTGGTGTATGCCAGACACAATCATGAATAAAGTTTCTCTCAAAAGGAGTTTTCAGTTTAATGAGGGGGGCGATTTTAATTAAAATACATTAGATAATGAAAGTCTGTGCTATAGAAATTCAAAGGAAAGTGAAGTTGCTTCTATTATGGGGCCATGGGAAAAGGCTGAAGGCTAGAAAGTGGGGTAGAGTGAGGGCAGTCTGCATGGAGAAGCATTCCCAGAGGGTTAGAGCTAGGGCTAGACTTGAGTCCTAGGGCTAAGGCTTAGGGCTAGGGCTAGGGGACAGGATTCGAGGTTCCAGACAAAGTCTGCAGTTTGAGTTTAGGTTCGATACAGGGTTAGGGCTCGGGGTTCAGATTTGGGTTTAGGGCTAGGGCTAGGGTTAGGGTGAGGGTTAGGGTTCGGGTTAGGGCTCGGGTTAGGGTGAGGGTTCGGGTTAGGGTTCGGGTTCGGG